ACAATAAATGGTGTATGAATCCTCAGATCACCATTTTTGAAAGTAGTTTTRTTTTGTAGATTATAGAGCATTTTTCTTGCTATAATGATACTCCGTCGGGGAACTGATTTCAATACCTTCATTGCCTTCTTCCACTGCCATTTCAGTGTTTTTGTCCTGGTAAATAGAAGTGTAAAAATGCATAGAAACAGATCAGGAAAAAATCAATAAGTATGTTGCTTTGTGCACTTTTAGAATCCAAAACAAAACATCAAACAACCATATCCATAACCATATATGTCATTCTTTTCATGATTTTCCAGAAAAAAAGCTTGAATTTACTGATAAYATTGCAAGTTGGTCTACGATCTTTATAGCAATAGCATTACTAGAAAGTTAGCTCTGATATAAGACACTCAAAGCTTGATAAATCCTATACTGATTACACACACACATACCAAAAACTAGAGATTAATGTATATTACCTTTTCAACCATGTTTCTTGCCTCCAATAATATCTCAAACCCTTCATTGTTGCCATATTCAATTAGAACCTGCACATCAATAACATTGATAAATAATTAATAATATCAATACATCACTTCAATATGGYTRAAAGTCYTTTGAGTCCTTATTAAAATATTTTCAAWTTTTCTGCAACCAATATATAACTTTATTATATATATAACGAGACTTTCATAGAGTAAATGGCATAAATAGAAATCTATATGCTATATTTTCACATGTGAAAAAAAGCGATATGTCCAATCAGAAGCGCGTATAGCATTTCTCACACTGTAAAAATATAACCAATCACAACACAGAAAAACCGTAATCAGCCAATCAGAAAGCGACGTTCRCAACACTGAAATGGCTTCTCTCACATACCGCGCGTTGATGGCAAAATGGAGAACTGTGAAGGTGAACTGTGTTTGTTGATCAAAATTCCACATTTGAAGAGTTTATTTGTGGACAGGAAGGCAAACAAACTAAAACAAAGTAAGAAGAGATGTTTTTCTTCAAGAGAATTAAGTTTTTTGCCATCCAGAATGAACATGAAAGCATGAAAAACATCAGCCAAAACTATAAGCTTAAACGAACAGTAATTTGTCTCGTTCGTGTTCACTGAGTTTACTAGGTCGTTTTATACCAAGTTTTGATCGTTTTCTGCAAAATTTAAACTTATCTCCATGCAATATAGAAAGACAGGACTTCAGTAAGACAAGAGATGTACCTGTAGGAAAGCAAAATCAGCTCAAACGAAGAGGGAAATTGCAGCGCGTTATCTTACATACCAACCAAGAGAAGTAGTTTTCTCGACGAAGAACTAGTGTTATTTGTTCCTCTACTTACTATAAAATCTCACGAAAACTTGGACGTTCCTGCAGCTTCAGTAGAAAGTACGACTATTAATTTAGGTTCTTTTTTTGTAAGCCTTAAGTTTTACCAAGTTTATTAAGTTTAATTAGTTATCTGTGCATTTTTATCTACATAAGCTCATTGAAATTGTTTTTCATAATAGTTGAACAAGCTTAAAAAGTATGGCGAATGAAAGTCTCGTTATATATATAATAAACAGCTTATAGCATGGAAAGTGCTTGGTACGGAATATTCTTCACTCGTTGTTTGCATCATAAACTCACTCGCTCGTTCCTCGCTCGTTCATTGTATGATGCAAACAACTCGTGAATAAAATCCCGTATGCCGCACTTTCCATGAAATAAACTCTATGTATGAGTAACTTCTCAAATTCAAACTAAAGACAGATAACATCACAAACTCACACAATTTGTCTTGACAACATTGTATTA